CTGTTTCATTATAAGGAGTTCATCTTTTTCTTTTCAGGTAAAGTCTGGAATGATTTAACTGTGTCAAAATTAGCGTGCAATTTGTAAGTCATTACAGTGCAAAGTATGTGGTAAGAACACTTTATTGAATAAATCTGCTGAGTATAATTTCCCCAGGAACTAAAAAAGGGAAAACTTCTCTCCAAGGCTTTCCTCCCCTTTTAGAAATCCCTGCCAATACCTACATAATTATGCCTTACTTCTGACCATCAAAAGCCAAGCATACTCTGTACATTTAGTCAGCAGAAGCTGGAAGGAAACAGTGAGAAGCCAAGGCATCTTCCATACAACAAGTACCTTAGTATTTTAGGGCTTCAAGTTGTTTGGGGAGTCATGTGAAATCTGCTGAGACAAAAACCCTGGATATTTACAGATCACAAGAACTGCTGCTCATTAGATGAGTCTTAAGAATTATATGCCCTTGAAAAGTTCAGGTCAAATCTTGTTAACCAGAAACCCCTAGGGTATGCTTGGATACACTGTGGCCTGGAATCTCATGGATACTGAATACAACATAAAAGCAGAGGGTCACTACTCAAGATATGGAAATCTGTGCTAGTTAGAGTATTACAATAATATGATTTGAACTGAAGGTGTATAAAATCATCTATCGGTCCTATAGATTATTCCAAGTAGGAATATTTTCCTTTTTGAATATTGCTTCAGTTATGCCATTGAATGCACATGGCTGCGCTTAAATATTTGTAATGATGGGGTTAATCACAGACAAAACAAAAATGAGGGCTAAAAATTAGTATTAAGGAATAATGTAGAAAACCCAGGTGATCCTCTATCTTTCTTTTCTTTTTTTTGAGTTGGAGTCTCACTCTGTCGTCCAGACTGGAGTGCAGTGGCCGCTCCCGGCCACCGCAGCCTCGACCTGCTGGGCTCCGGCGATCCTTCCGCCTCAGCCTTCCAAGTAGCTGGAATTATAGGCATGTGCTACCACGCCCGGCTGACTTTTTAATTTATTGTAGAGATGAGGTCTCGCCACGTTGTCCAGGCGGGTCTCGAACCCGCGGGTTCAGGCAATCCACTCACCTCAGTCTCCCAAAGTGCGGGATTACAGGCTGAGCCACCGAGCCCGGCCCTCTATCTTTCTTAATACCCACAGACAGATATTAGTTTCACCTAATGAGCAATAATCTTTCATTCACTGATTGTCAGCCATGATGTCCTGAGAATATGATGAACAAGAGAGATTACAGTCCCAGAGATAAAGAGTAAACAAATAAATGAAATAATTACAGGTTTTGAAGCAGTCGAGGCGGGGTGGGTGTGGGGGGATACATTGCTTTACATATGGTGATCACCAAAAACCTCTCCAAGGAGGTGACATCTAAGCTGAGACCTGACAGTGGAAGGAGCAGAAAGAGAAGCAAATGCAAAGGCTGTGAGGCAGGAAGGTAGTGACCAGTGGAGGAGGGGGTTGGAGAAGTAGGGAAGAGTCAGATTATGCACAATCTTGTAGTACTGAGGAATTAACAGAGTGCGAGTGTGTGTGTATAGGGGGTAAATAGTCCTTGTAGAGAAAAGAGAATGAAAGGTTCTTTGAGTACCCCGTGTGCCAGGTCCTGTGCCAACACCTTCCATGTATAGTACATTCATTGTCACTGCAGTCATGAGCAATTACCCATGTAATTTCTCAAAGTACACAAATCAGCATACACCTTAAAGAGAAAACAAACACCAGCAAGGAAGCAAATAAGGCTGGGGCAGTTAAGCTATCCGTCCACAGCTGGAGAACCAGAAAAAAGCCTGGCTCTGAAGCCCAGGTTCTCCCTCCGCACTTTCCACTTCTGGAATGTAATCCCCCACCTTAACTTGGCTCCTATTCCCTCTCCTTTTCTCTGTTGCCCCAGACTAGAAATCTCATGGATGCTACACATGTCTATCTTTGAAGGGTTAGCATGAATGCTGACTTGTCCACAAAACCAGTTGCCCTAGAGTTTAGGGCGACTCTAGCTGTAGACAGCCTTCCTGCTCCCTGGGATCCTCCAGCCTCATCAGAAGCTTCACTCCCAGACCCCTTCTCTTCTTGGCACTTTTGCCCCTCACCCCTGGCCTTGTGCAGAGCAGGTGCCTGATCAACATTTGCCAAGAGACTGGCTTCTCTCCGGTGAATCTTGGTCAACTGCAAAGCATGGACACTTTCACAGTGGCCAGAGAAGGCTGACGTTTACAGGGAAGATGGTGGCTCAGAGACACCGAAAATATCAATACTTGAGCTTATTATCTTAGGTTTTTTTGTTGCAGACTTGTGGAGTATATGAGAGATTTATTTACTACCAATCTCATAGTCAATGCCATCAAAATCCCTGAAAAATAAGCATTCAATTCAAGTCAACAAATATTTGCTGAGTTTCCAATTGGAGTAGGACATTCAAATTTAATGGGGGTGAAGAGACAAACTGTTTGTGACTTAAGAGAGAAGCCTGCATCTTGAAGTCATTCTACACCTGTGAGGAAACATCATCTGCTAGGATGGCACTGGGCGCTGGCAGCAGACACTGCTCACATATGCATCCCTCACCCCTACCTGCATGCTATCTGAGTAACACTGAGGCTGCTGAGCACTAATGACCTTGGGATGTTTGCCAGTGCCCAGCAAAATGGCCTTGGCATCAAGGAGGCAGATGTTTGTCAGGGAATGGCAGGGTCCCAGTGCCCGTGGCACATAGCAGCTTTGTGAATGCCAGGAGCGTGGCTGCAGCGATGACTCGCCGTCAGTGCTAATCAATTTCACACTCTCTTCGATGCTGATAACAGATCATCTTGTGGGAAGCAGGCCAAATCCTAAAAGCTACATGCAAACTGTTCTCTGACGCCCAACTGCTTACTCAGTCTTCCTCAAAAAGAGTCTAAGTTTCACCTCAAACAAAGCATCTGATAGTGCCAACACTCTGTTCTGCTAGGGCGACTCCTTCTGGGGCATCTGGCAAGAAGGATGCTCCCAGGAAGAGGACTGCCTGGCTTACTGAAGAGTTACACAAGAATTTTAACGGAAGTTTGGAAAATCTAGCAGCAGCAGCTTCTACTAATCAAACAAGGTACTTCATATACTTTATGCTTAGTCTTAATAATCCCAAAGGGGAAGTGCTATTGCTCCCATTTTACAGATGAGAAAACAAAGCTTAGAGAGGTCAACTCAACTGCCCAAGATCTCAGAGCTAGGAAGTGGCGAGCTGGAATTCAAGTATAGGGCTCTCTGACCCTCTACCTTGTGCATGTCTTATCATTTTTTACTAGGCTGCTGCTCCTCTACCTAGAAGATAACCCAGTCACTGATCAACCTATTGTTGTGCTTTTAATCCAGTCCACTAACCCAAAACAGAGTCACCAAAGGATATTTAACTGAATCTGAGGGAAAACATGAAGCTTGAGGGGTTAGATCACCTTGGCTAATACACTTCTGAGGTTACATGAAGCACAGCAACAGGTCATGACTGGCAGTGATTAAAGGTGGTGCCTACACCAAAACCCTAGCCCCCCGGACACCAAGGTGCTCCTCCCACAACCCCTGAAATGTCCTCTAGCACCAGGGATTCTGCCAGGGCTGGAGTTCCAGTTGTCTCACGGACAGGTTACTCTACAGGGAAGAAAAGATGGGAAAGAAAAGTTTAATCAGAATAAAACCAGGGTTTGGGGTATGTGGAAGGAAAGAATTGTGTGTGGAACATGCTAGTATCTAACGTCCAGTTTCAGAATTTAGAGTCCCTGCCTTTTATCTTGCTGTAGTATCACTGTATAAAAGAAGAAAGTTCCAGCTAATCAATTCAATCAATCCACAAACGTCTGAAGACTTACTAGGCCTAAGGATCACAGGGAAATCACGAGAATCAAAAACAGTTGCCTACCTATAGATATTCATAAATGAACACCATTCTGTGGAAGAGGAGAGGTGGATAAGACATGGCAGAGAGAAACAGGACACAGATAACAGGGCCACTGTCTCCCCCAAGCTCTTGCCTCTCACCTGGCCTCAGGCACGGCCCGAGGGAGAGAGCTAGTGTACTTCCCAGCATGCGTAGCTGGAGGTCCCCAGCACCAGGAAGGGGAGGGGAATGTTGAAACTGGTTCTCCTCGGAATGAAGTTCAAAAACCTCAAGTCTATCTTCAAGACAAAAAGACTGAAAAGAATAACGAAGTGATATAGCAAATCAGGATCACCAGGAAAATGAGGCATCCTACAGATTCTGAAAAAAGAGAAAGACCATTTTGTAATGTGACCAAAAACTGAGGAGTGTCTTGCAGGGGAGAGAATACAAACTGGATATTAAACAGCAGAGATGAAAATTTACTCTGATTGAGAAGTACAGACAAGAACGCTACAGAGGTTAGAGATAGTAGAGAACAAAATGGAAGCAGGTAAAAAGGCAGAGTAAGCACAGCCTTCAAGGAAAAAAATCTAGCAGGCTTCACTTCCCCAAAAAACCATACACATAAGAAATGAGGGCTAGACAGTTTGAAGCTGGTGCCTGGCTTGGTTGCAAACATCTGAGTTTCCCTCTTGAAGGTTTTTAGTTTTCCATCTGTAAATGGGGGAACTGGATTCAATGACCACTCAGTCTCCTTCCAGCTCTTATATCCTGTGATCACCCTTTCCTAGTATGCTTCCTCCTCAGGACTATAGAAAGCCAGCAAGACACCAACATGATACCAAGTCCCAGCATTGTGCTTTGGCCAGATTTTCTAACAGAAATTCTTGTCAGGGGTACCTGTGCTATCTACCTAGATGCCAAGGTCAGACGTGGATCAATGCTATACAACCCTTCTCCTAGAAGGCTGTACTTTCTGTCAGAGCAGTTATAACCATCTGGCATAGCATCATTCACTCTGTTCTTACAATACGTGAGACGGCATCTTTGCCCTTACCTATCCTGTGAGGAGCTATGAGGAACACAAGGCACCCACTTGGAGTGCAAGTCAATAGCTGGCAAAAGAGAGGCAAGGATACGTACGTGTTTTTCCCCTTCAATCTTCTTGTCCGCCACCTGCATTGCACCCAGATATTTAAAATGCAACTCCATTAGTCTGTCAACCTGAAAGGAGAGAGATTTCACAGGCTGGAGTGAGAAGGAAAGAGAATACCAGGCAAGAGAACAGTGGAGTGTTTATTCATCTCACTGTCACTCCTTACAAAGGGAGACCCACTCGAGCACTTCTTATATCCTTTGCTTAGGGACACATTAGGAATGGATCAAAGAGCTGGGGCAGAACAAAGCAAACACTCAGGGTGGATGCTGTGTGAACATAGGCCCATTCCCCAAAAAAGACTACTCATCCTCAGCCCTCCTATGACTCCCAGGAATTCAAGTTGTTAAAAACAAATAAATAAATAAAAACTCAAGTCCCGTCTTGCAAAGAGAAGAAGCTTGAAGTTACATACTTGATATTCACTTAGAACTTTATAAAAATGTCTTTTTTCGAACTGAAACCTTTCATGTTCAGATTCTGCCCCAGAGCTGATCTTTTTTTAAAAATGCCTGAGTAAAATCTTTTTAGTTGCTTTTGAGTCAGAAGAGTGTGCAAGAAAAACTCCTTCAGCAACTTAAAAAAAAAAAGACCCGACTTTTGCTCAGTAATAACTTAAAAATTAGTTTTAAGCTTAGCAAAGTCATGCTTCAAACATGGCCTGAGGAGCAAGCACTCAGTAGGTTTAAAAAGTTTCATTTTTCTCCACAACTTCCAAAAAGACTGAAGGAACACTGTGAAACCAGCCCAGACTCCTGGCTTATCTTCTCATCAGACTGGCACCACCATGGCTCTCAGCAACTCTGGCATTTATTTACCCTGATACTGATTAACAGGAGATGTTGCTTCAATATGGCATCATACGGTATGGGAAGACTGTGGTCAAATGTCCTCAGCAAACAACGATGACCCAAAGACCTTACATATTTCCATTTACAAAGTATTTTCATGTCCATTATTTCCTTAAACCTTCAAAAAGTCTGATAAGGTAGGCAGGGAAGACATGACAATCCCCATTTTAAAGCTGAGAAAACTGAAGCACAAGTGTTAAATGATGTCACCAGGGTGACATGACTGCTAAGCTGCTCTGTGTCCTAACCTGATGGCCTCTTCATCATGCTACACTGCTACTGAGGGCAGAAAAAAAATGGTCAGAGGTGGGCTCAAAAAGACAATCTGAAATCTCTCTCCAAAGTAGGGAAAAGGAGCCGCAAGGACGAAAGAAGTCATTGCAGGTTAAAAGGGAGGTTTTGGTCTTTCATTTTACTCATCAGGAATTGCGTGCTTACATCTTATGGGATAAAATACATGGGCTTTCTGGACTCAGTAGCAAGGTTCAAACCCTAGTTCTGCCACTTATTACTGGTGTGTTACTGGGCAAGTCACATAATGTCCCTAAACTTCAATGGCCTTATCTGTAAATGTGAATCACACCTATACAAAAGATAAGCCACAGTGTTGTGGGAATACACACAACAATGAAGGCATTTACTCCATTAACCAGCTCACAGCAGTCACTCAATCAATGGTAGTTCTTATTAGTGTTAAAAATCTTTTTAACACTAATTTTTGCCATGCTAGATAACTATGTAAAATATCCATCTACTCTCACTTATAACCATTTGCAGCTTCAACAGATCACCTAGGGCAGGCTCTGCCATGTCCTCATCATCATCTGCATTTTATCACTACCACCTAGTAAGACCTCATCTGACCTCATCTGGTTGGGTGGTGGCTCACACCTGCAAACCCAGCACTTTGGGAGGCTGAGGAAGGAGAATCGCTTGAACCCAGGAGTCTCTACAAAAAAAAAAAAAAAAATCAGCTGGGCGTGCTGTAGTCCCAGCTACTTTGGAGGTTGAGGTGGAAGGATTTCCTAATCTCAGGAGTTTGAGCCATGATTCATGCTGTTGTACTCCAGTCTGGGCAACAGAGTGAGACCCAGACTCAAAAAAAAAAAAATAAAATAAAATAAAGACCTCATCTAATTGACCTACCACTGACTCCTCAAGATAGGTATTAATGTCTCTGTTTTGAAGTCAGGGAAAGTAGAAAAACAGGTTCAAATCCAGACATATGAACCCAAAGCCAGTGCTCTTAATCACTTTGCCATGCTGTGGACCAAACCACAACCAAAATCCTATTATAATCTACTCTCATGCTGTCTAAAAATCCCCTTAAAGTGCTAGCTGATATCACTCTAAGGTGTTACTACTCCCAAGTGAATGCATTTGGAAATGAGAAGTAGAATAATCAGAAAAACTTTGGCAATTCAAAACAACAGGGCCTAGATGCTGGAAAAGAGATTTTAGTAGAGAACATTTAACCCAATATCCCTTGGACTGCATCAGGTAAAAAAAAGCCTTTCTATCCCCCACTGGTCCTGGTCCCATCTTTACAATCCAGCAATCACTCACCTTCTCACTGTCATTTTCAGTGAATTTATTCAGAAGCCGGGTTCGCTGCTGCCCTCTCAGGTTCCGCAGGAGGGAAGCCAGGATCGAACAGACATGCTCTGGGTTGGGAAGAAGAAAAGAGAACATGCTGAGATCAGAGAAGTAATTATTACCTCTCTTCAAGCCTCGTCTGGTCCTATTGAGGAGGGGAATAAGTAGGCCTCTCTGACTGCTGCTATTGATTAATAAGACAAGAACTGAAATTGTGTCACTGGAAAACTGAACTGATCTTCACACACTGAACAAAAAATATATTCAAAAGGGATGATATCCTCAAGGACAACTTGAGCAAATGAATCAAAACTGAGTTAGAATTTCTATTCTGTCTGGAATTAATTGATTTTTATTGTCCACAACAGAATCTCAAACTAACTCCCCATTTACAGAAATAACCTGTGAAGATATGAAAATCAGTCATGCCATGAGTAAGTAATAAATAAGACACGTTTTATTGAATTCTCAAATTACTTTCTAACTTTCCCAAGTAAACACCGTGGAACTAAATAAGAAATGTGATAGGGCCCCAGTGCTATCACTTACATTCTGGTGCAGCTAACACCTCTACTTTAAGTTCAAATGTGGCTGGGCTGTAAGGGCTTCCAAACAGTTAACAATGCCTTTTGAGTCACATAACCCAGTGGCATCTATTATGAAATACTACTATTCTATTCTTGGAAGAAGAGGGTAATTGAGGGGTATATTATAGGCTTCAGTTCTTAAGAGAAGCTTTTCTTTAAGAATAATTTTTTAAAATTAGAGAATATAGTTTATTTAAAAGTAAATGAGAGAGAGAGCGAGAGAGAGCGAGAGCGAGAGAGAATTCACCTCCCCAAGGTAGGGGAGGAGGCCAAAGCCAGGAAGCATGGCGAGCCATAGCTCAAAGAGCACTTGGCCCCACCAGAGTCTAGCCAAGGCATTGGTGGCGAAGTTCTGGCAATGACCTACAAATAATTTTTAAAAATCAAGAATAATGACCTTGAAAAAGAGGTGACCAAAGTTGACTCATGGAAAAACGGCAGAGCAAAGTTTATTTTGAAATACAATGCTCAAAGCATGAACAACAAATACTCTATTTGAAAACTGAAGAGCGTCTTCCTATACCAAACTTAGAGTTCTCAAAAAATCACTTAACGATTTTTTTTTTTTTTTTTTGAGTTGGAGTCTAACTCAGACGCCCAGACTGGAGTGCAGTGGCCGCTCCCGGCCACCGCAGCCTCGACCTGCTGGGCTCCGGCGATCCTTTCACCTCAGCCTTTCAAGTAGCTGGAACTACAGGTGCGTGCTACCACGCCCAGCTCATTTTGATATATTGTAGAGGTGAGGTCTCGCCAAGTTCCCCAGGCAGGTCTTGAACCCGTGGGCTCAGGTAATCCACTCACCTCAGCCTCCCAAGTGCGTGGGATTACAGGCTGAGCCACCGAGCCCGGCTGTCACTTAACTATTAAGTGAGGGTACAGGTAAGCCTTAATACTTCTCTGTGACACAGATATAATTTTGTACCAGTGTGTTTTTCTTTAAATTATATCATAAACTTACCCACCTCCTCACTTCCCTAACCTCTTACTGTTGGAGTTATTCAGTCCATCAGCTTCTATTTTCTATCTCTATTCATGTCCCTAGTGATCTCATCTTGCCCGTGGCTTTGAAAAACATTTAAATATGGACAACTCATATAGTTGAATCTACAGGTCAGTCCTGTCCTCTGAATGCTGATTCATACATTCAACTGTCTACCGGCTCTCTCCACTTGGTTGTCTAACAGGTCCTCTAAACTTGACATGTTTAAAACCAAGCTCCTGATCTTCCTTCCTAAACCTTTTCCCCATAGTCTTTTCTACTGAGTTAACGGTAACCAGATTCTCCAGTTTCTCAAGCCAAAGCCAGTGAAGATATCCTTGATTCTCTTCTTTCTCTCATATCCCACAGGAACGCTCGCCAGCTTTATCTTCCAAGACGCCCAGTATCCCACCTCTTCTCTCTGCTGCCACCACTGCCACTATCCTGGTCCATATCATTTCTTGCTTGGAATATTCAATAGCCCACTAGCAGGTCCCTCTGCTTCCACCCGTATCCCCTTTGGCCTAATCTCCACAGAGCAGCCAGAACAATTTTGGGGGTTAAAACCTGAAGTCAGATCTGTTTAAAACACTCAGATGATTCCCAGACTCAGACTAAATGCTGCTTCTCACATCCAGCTGCTCCTGCTTCAGGGGGCTCTGCACTCGCTGTTTCTCTGCCTGGAATGCTCCTCACCAGATTATCCGCATGGTTTATTCTTCCAGTCTAGCTTTACTCCACTGTCATCTTCTCAGAGAAGTTCTCCTCTGATCACGCTATGGAAAAATGGAATGCCCCACAAGGACATTCTCAAGTCTTATCGACTTTATTTTTCTCTTCATTATGTATTACTTTCCAAACTACTGTTTATTTATTTTGTTCTCCATCTCTGTTCAATTAGAATATAATTGTATTCTAATTGTTTAACCTTCGTGCATGCCAAGGGAAGATTAGGGACAGGAAGAGTGAGGGACATCACTGGGTCAACAATCTTGGGCCAAGTCAGATGTGGCTCTGATCTCTTAAGCTGGTGCACAGACATGGGACAGACTATAATGATGTCAGTGCTGAAACTTTGAAATTACTTAGCATGACAGCTAGTAGCAACCTCCAGGTATATATGTGACAATCTGACAATCATAGAGGAAGAAAAAAAACCAGAGTCAGAGTTCTCATAGAGTATCTGAGCCAAATCTCTCATTGTACAGATGAGAAAACCAAGGCCCAGAGAGAAGGGACTTGTTAACACAGCTAACAGGAGAGCAGGCAGAACTCAAATTTCATATTCTTCATTCACTCATTCACTGGCTAGTCTAGGGCCCACACAAACAAGGCAACCTAACTGAAGGAGCTCCTCATTTATGGAGGAAACAAAATAGCAAGTTCCATGTGAGCCTTCAGGGGCACAGAAGAACAACTGACCTAGAAAGAGTCCCACTAGAGGTAACAAACTACTGAAAAGAAAACTGTAAAGAACAAAAAAGAAGAGCCATAGCCAACAATGAGGTAGAAAAGAGGAGAGAACATTCTAGGCAGAAGGAACAACATAGGCAAAGGCCAGCTTGGATGGAACGCCACATCCACGTGGGAGAGGGGAGGACAGTCCAGTTGTCAAAGGCTGACTATGGAGAATAGTGACAAGAATCTACCAGTGAAATTTTACTCTGGTGAGAGGGCATATCAGATCTGAGTTTAGACCAATCTTCTTAGCAGCTACATTCTTTTCAGATCAGGAGAATGTTTCTCTTTCCTAATGAATTTTTTATACTTCTCTATCAAGGTTACCTTTTTGCCTTGGTTATTAGGAGGCTCAAAGATGAATTTATACTCAATGACAGGAAGCAATTCCTTTTATTGTTTTATTACTGATTCCCTTCACTCTACCAGCGTATTTTAAAATAAAAGCAATGAATTCATATGATAAAGATCAAACTACACAAAAAGTTGTAAAATGTCCTTAATAAAAATCTGCCAAGCATCTATACTAATAATTTTCTTTCTCTATACTCCTCCCACTACCCTATTCTTCTCTCCCAAGAAAAACTGCAAAGAACCTTGTATACATTTTCAGGGAAGATTTCTCATTCATATATATATATATTCCCCAATACAGCTTTCTATATCAGCACTCACACATCATGTTTTGTTTTCCTTTTAATATGTATCCAGAATTCCACCAAATTTATTTATCATAATTTAAGCAGTACCTCATTCACGGATAGTTTAGGTAGCTGCCAGTTTTGGTTTGTTTTGTTTTTGCTATTAGAGGCAATGCATATCCATGTCCACATATTCTGGTATACTTTTGGACAAGTATTTGTATTTTTATTGCATATTCCTAATAGTAGAATTAGAGGGTCAAAGAAGTTACATATAAGATGCTGAAAGAACTGACAAGTTGTCTTCCAAAATGGTTGTTCCAGTTACATATCCAATCTCAGTATACATGTGTCTGTTTTCCCATCCTCACTCAGACTGCATATTGCCCAATCTAGAAATTATGACAATATGGTAGGTGAAAAATGGGAACTTCTTTTGATTAGTATGTTTTTGCTCTTGTTATGAATAAGGTTAAGTATTTTTTTCTATGTGCACTAGTCAGGGTTTTCCAGAGAAACAGAACCAATAGGACATATATAAATACATAGAAAGGGATTATAAGTGATTGGTTCACATGGTCATGGAGATCATGATCTGCTGTTTCCAGGTGGAAGATCCAGGAAAGGCAGTGGAGCAGCTCCAGCCCAAGGCCAAAGAATAGTGTTTTGTCAGCTACCTGGGCATCTCTTAGCCCGGGCAAGCTGGTACACAAAATTATCATTGACCATTCACATTACTTTTTCTGCGAACTGCTGGCCTTATCCTTTGCTCTTTATAGATAAGGATGTTACCCTTTTTCATATATGTTGCATATTTTCCCTAGTTTGACATTTGTCTTTTGACAAATTCTTATTCATAGCTAAGATATAGTACCACCATATTGTTTTGTTATAAGCTGCTTCAAATTCCTACTTGAAAGTAAGTAGGACAAAATAACTGTCACCACTTTTATTGTTTATCTATGCCAATAGGCTTATTTGAGTCTGTACACAATTTTTTAATTGAATCTTCACAACTTATCTGTGAGAAAGGTACTGTCCTCATCTCCACCTCATAAATGTGGAGCCCGAGGCTCAGAGAGGTTAACTTACTTAAGGTCACACACTCGAGTAAGTGGCTTGAACCCAAGTTGTCTGACCCCAAACTGTAAGCTTTTCCTACTATGTTATATGTTTCCCGCATATAAAAGGCAATCATCAGTGTTGATAAAGAAGGAAGATAAAAGAGACCAGAAACTGAAACATGCAAAGTCTGAGAATACGCCTTATAGTTAGGCTCACTGTGCCCAAGAGACAGGCATGATATATTTTAAAAAATTAACAGTTCTAACAATAGTCAAACGAAGTAAAAGGCCATATGGAGTAAGACATGAACGACAACCCCTCTTTCTCTATTTTACTGAATTAGTCTTTGCAGAAGCAGTTTCTACCAGAGTCTAAATAAAGAAGAGATTTTGGGTTTCAGGCAGTTCCACAAATA